AATCTTCTAAAGTACAAGTTTTAAACGTAAGTTACATGTTTAACGATTAGTTATCCTAAAATCACTTCAATTTTTTCTTTGAAATCTATAGGTTTTTTCTCAAAATCTTATCTCTCAAAGATTAATTAAGACTGTTTACAAAGTAAATAATAATGTATTATTGCAGTTAAGTAAAACCATAGCAGAACTGAAATCTAAGATTGTAAAGTCTCCTGAAACATATGAAAAGCAATTAAAAGATCTGGAAGAAGAAAAAATGATTAAGATCCAGCAGCGTGAAACGATGCAAGAAGCGATTCAGGATAAACAAAATTTGATTGAACAATACAAACCAATTCTGAGTTTCATTCAAAAGCAATTAGATAAGTTGAGCAAAGTGAAAGATATACATCAACAATTCAAGTACTTTATAATCATAAAGAGTAGTATATTTATAAATAATCATAAGTAAAGAAAGAGACTACTACAAGTATATATTTCCAGAAAAGTAAATGTACAAGAAGACAGCATTAAGAAACAAATTGAAGTAGTAAGAACAGAATACGAGGACTTCCAAAAAACGTTGCAGACTCAAAAAGATAAAGAAAAAGAGACAAATGAAGTAGAAGATCTTCATGCACAATATGAACAACAACTTACACCACTGCGTAATTTAAATGCACAATTATTATGGTACAACAAATTATAATAAATTAAATATTTATAGTTCTTAGAAAATTATGAAAAATTCATATTAATTACAGTGATAAAAAGACATATCAACAAAAATTAGAAGAAGAACAAGCTCAGTACAACGAAGAGTACAAGAAGTACAAGAACATGCAAAATGTTATTCAAAAACTAGAGGAAGAAACTTCAGCACTTATTCAGAATTATCAAAACATTTATGATGACGAAGTGAAGACTGTGAGTACAGTGATAAACATCTAAATGCATAAATAAATATGTAAATTCAATTTTTTCCCTTATCAACAGGTCGGAGCTATGTGGAAAATGGTGGACAAATGAATAATGTATATATGTACCATTTTAAGATATAAACTATTTTTATTATTATTATTATATAATAAATTATTTCCCTGTTGAAATTTCCCTATATAGAACGAAACTTTATNTTATCAAAACATTTATGATGACGAAGTGAAGACTGTGAGTACAGTGATAAACATCTAAATGCATAAATAAATATGTAAATTCAATTTTTTCCCTTATCAACAGGTCGGAGCTATGTGGAAAATGGTGGACAAATGAATAATGTATATATGTACCATTTTAAGATATAAACTATTTTTATTATTATTATTATATAATAAATTATTTCCCTGTTGAAATTTCCCTATATAGAACGAAACTTTATNAATAAAACATGGTATAAACACATAGGAAATAAGTTTGAAGAATTGTTTTTCCATATCTTATTTAATTACATATATTAACAATATCTTTTACATAATCACGTATTATGC